ACTATGATGTTGTCGGCACGTTTAGTATTCTCTTCAAATGTGCACTCGCTGACCTTGTGTGAAGGGTCTCCACAACAATAACATATCTTGATTCCAATATTTTTCCTTTTAAAACTTGAGTTTTGATTTCTTTTAAAATTTGGCTTCCAGTGAGTGGAACCCTGTTCATTTAATTTAAAAACCCTTTCTTTGTCTTGGAACTAGATATGTTGTATTGTGAAGAAACACTATGATTACACGCTGATGAGTTGGAAGACTCATTAGTGTCAGAAGTGTTTAAAAGACGGGCAATGTCAATGTCACTTATAATACATTGAGGAAATTCACTAATAATTTCATTCATTGAGTGAAATTCACCATTTAAAATGGAATATTTTAGCAAGATTTTAGATAAAGGCAACACATATTCACAAGTTTGAGGCTGTTGTGATGGATCAAGAGCGGACAAGTAAGATTTACATTCAGTGTGTCCATTTGAGTCAGTGACACGATGTTTGGTAATTAAACTTTGATTTATAAAGGTGGTACTGTAAAATCTAGTTTTAAAGTCCTTTTTAAGACCACAAGTAGCATCAAAGTTTTGCTTAGAGTCAATATGTTTGAGTATTTTTACAACGTTATCAATATTGCCACCAAGAATTTTTCCACACTGATCAGAAATTTGAGAATTTATTATTTTACTTAACTTGAAATGTGAATGTGCCCAATTGTGAACTATATGTTGTAAATTTTTGGCAAGTTCATCAAAATTTTCCTTTTCGGTGAAGAAAAATTTGTTTGATAAATACATATTTGTATTTTCTTTATTCATCAGTGTGAGAGAATTTTCAGTGGCTATTCGTTTTTCCTTTAAAACCTTAATCTCTAGTTTAAGTATGAACTTTTCAGAGTTAGATTTTGCTAGATCGAGATGCAAATAATCAAATATATCGACTTTTTCATTAGAAGAGTAATTGACAAATTTCTTAACCTGATACATGGAAAAAGAGTCTCAGTCTTGCATCTTTGAGTCCCTAGCAACTTGAGAAAGATCAGCGTCGAAAGTGCTGGAACTGCTACTGGACTCCTCAGTTTGAAATTCATCGATGCGAGCCATTAGACACTTCCCTTTTGGTTCTTCATCTTTAAAAGACTATTCTTTATCTACCCATTCCTCAGATATCTCTTGTTTGGCCACAAGTGCTTTTAAAAGAGAAATGTTTTCTTTCTTCATATGAGCCAACAGCTTCTTGTACATTATTTCGTAGCTTTCTAAGTTTTGCGATGCTTTCTTTGCCTTGCATTCCATGGCAAAGTGATTAGTGCTTCCACGGTTAAAGCAATTCCCATCATCCTTTCTATCAAAGACATTCTTTCTCGCTGATGAGCTACTTCCTCTTGACTAAAACTTCTTACGTCCATTAAACATTCTTTCATCATAACATTTAACAATGAGTGCAACGCTAAAAACTAACTCATCTGGGTAAGCATCATCAGAGGTTTCATCCTGATCTAATGATTCAAAGTCACTGATATACATCTCTTTTCTTGAGAACAAATCCATAGATTTTTCCTTGCTGGATTCCTTCATGATGTCTTTACGAAGAACCTTGGTTTCTTCATAGTTACGCAGATTGAAAAAAAATGAGTTTAGATCCATGGTCTTGATCTTCTCGATGTTGTTGAGAACATCAACGTGATGTTCCCAACATTTTCCCAAGGAATCATAAACTGTAGCACCAACTGAGATGAATGTTTAGTGGTGCCCAAGCTATGCATATCATTAACCAAATAGTTAAACATGTTAAAGGTTTGAGTCAGTGTCACACCTTGTTGATCAAATAAGTGTTCATATATTCGGTTCAAGTTGTTGATTTGTGTTGCTTGAACTCCTACAATGCCTTCGTAGGCAACTTTCAGCATCTCCATCATTTCATGCGTAGATTCACAGTTTTGAACCAAGTGATAAATGTGGTAAGGAAGAGAATTTCCAATGGCAATCCTTGCTTTCACATCTAGACTTATGAGTTTTTGTCTTCTTCATCATAGCTTGTCTTCGGTTTCGAATTTAATCCACCGGCGGGTGCATTGTCAACCATGGGTTGGTACATGGGACGTGTGGACCATGATTGACGATGTCGAGCATGTCATAGTCCATGGTTTCAAGAACAAACAAGGATTTTGACTTCCACATGGAAAAATTAATTTCATCGAACAATGGAATTTGTTTGCTGCTGAGGAGTTAGGATGGTATTGGGATGAAAAAGACGTGATATCTTGAATGTATCATAAAACCTACTCTGATACCACTTGCAGGTTCGTAGATTGGATACAAACAATAAAGAACAAAGAACAAGGTCATCACAAAGATGTTTTCACTAGGAAATGATCCTTACAAAGAGAATCAACACAAAGCAGTGATTAAGGTTGCAATAAGAACAACCCGAGTACACATTACTATAATTACAATCAATCCCGACATTAATGGGATTGAATCTAATATAAGTGAACATACTGATCCTAGTCACTGAGATTAAGGAATAGTTAACCGACAACTATTATTCCTATAATTACAAAATACAACGTAAATACACTAGTGCTAGTGATCACATGCTGATGTTGGCATCGAGGTATGTGAGTTGGCACTGGCGGTGGAAATGATGGTCATCGTATATTAGTACTTGAATCATCAGATTATATGGTTCGACCTTACATAACCCTACTGGATCGACGAAGGGGTAATGAGTTGTCAACTGTCTCAACTAGAATTTTTTCCTTAGGTTGAGTGTTAGTGTTGCATGAGGTTCCTTCATTGGTCGACTGTTGAATTTCTTCAAGATCAACAACACTCCCACTGTCCTATATGAATATGAGCTCTCTCTCACAAAAGACTCATCTTCGAGCTACAAATACCACGTTCTCATAGGTTTGTAGAACAAGTATCCAAAGAAATTTTGTGGGTAGCCAATGAAATGACACTTCTCGGCTTCGGGTTCAAGTTTTTCGTGAGTCTATCATCTCTTGTCTCACGAGCACTTCACAACCCCAAACCTTGATATGTGCAAGCGAAGCTTTCCATGTACACATCTCAACAGGTGTTTTGGCAACCTTCTTTGTTGGAAAAAGATTCACGATATGCACGGATGTCTCTAAGGCATACCCCCAGAAATGAATAGGAAGAGAAGCTTGACTCATTATGGAATGAACCATATCTACTAAGATTCGATTATGCTTCTCTGCCACACCATTCAATTGTGGTATTTTGGGAGGAGTCAATTGTGAAACAATTCCACAGTCCTTAAGATAGTCATGGAACTTGATACTAAGGTACTCACCACCTCTGTCATATCTGAGCACCTTTATATTCCTGCCTAATTGATTCTCAACCTCGTCCGCTTTGAACTTTTCAAAGGTTTCTGAAATATGTTTGATTAAGTAGATATAACCATATATGTTATAATCATCTGTAAATGTCACGTGTATCAATTAGCATCCCTTGTGATAGATCTGAATGACCCACACACATCCATATGGATGAGGTCCAACAATCCTTCACATCTTTTAAATGTTCCATTGAAATTTGATTTTTTCATTTTTCTCAATAGACAAGATTTACATTCATCATTTTTTCTTAGATCAAATGATTGCAACACTCCACCCTTTTAGAGTTGGGCTATGCGTTTCTTGTTAACGTGCCCAAGACGACAATGCCACAAGCATGCTTTGTCTACACCATTAGACGAATCAATATGAAACACATTATTTCCTAAGTTATCAACACAGGTCACAATTTCATACACATCATTACAAGGTAAAGATTTGAACATAAAAACACCATTTTTATAAGCAAAAATAGATCCAATATGATTATCAAATGAATATCTAAAACCTTCTCTGAACAATACATGAAATGAAATAATGCTTCGTATCATATCTAACGAATAACAACAATTAAACAAATCAATCCTAACAACACTACTAAGAATAAATTCATAAGTCCCAATCTTGGTAACATGTGAAGTTTGCCTATTCCCATGATATGGTTCAACCTTCCATGCTCTAATTCCTCACTTTCTATTAGCCCATGTAAATAAGAACAAATATGGAAACCACAATTGAATGGTGTGGCAAAAACATTGGGCATGCATGAAGCAACGATTTTTATGGCTTATGGGGTGTAAGGAAGTCTTTTGAAGGAGATGAGTGTATGGCTTAATAGATTAAAGGCTTAATCCATTAAGTTTCCCATGAGTCAGTTCTCACGACGTGAAGAGGTGCATGTCACGTCGTGATGATTGAAGGCCTCACGACTATTTTGTCTTTAGCTGGCCACAACGTGACCAAGAGCTTGTCACGTCGTGGAGAGTCGTTGACTTGTTGACCGTTGACTTTTTTGATAAGTTTGACTTTAGGCCAAACTTGAAGGAATTAGGTTGTTGATTAAGGTTCTACAATGTTTTGGTACTAATCGGTTCATGAGAGGAATTAGTGCAGAGGGTGAGCATATCACTGTGTTTCTTGGGTCTCCGATTCAGGTGAGTTTCCTTACTATACTACATGTTGTAATATATATCATTGTATGTTAGGATATATGAGTAGTGATAAGCTGGTTAGAGTACCAGTATGCAGGTTATCATCTAGTGGAGAGCCCTAGGGGCTGTATGTAATCACATAGGATAGCCTGAGAACTCTTGATCTAGGCTTTCTTGCCTGTTCCTTATTGGTTGTGGCTCTATAGTAAGATCATACGTTCGGGTGTCTATCTCACCTCTGGTTACATATAGCTATGCATTCCTTGAAGATTTGCCAGTAGTGGCATAGTGTCCTGGGAGAGGCCTAGTAGGCGGTAGTGAATTGTTCGATAGGTAGATTCATGTAGATAGTTGCATGTGCTTATGTGTTTACTTGATTGCTTGTTTGATTATATATGTCGACATATCGTGGTGGGTTAGGTTGAGGCGGTCTCGCTTCGAGCTGTAAGCCAAGATACCAGGTGCGGGTTGGTTGTAAGTCGTAGGCACATGAAAGGAACTAGTTGTGGGCTGGAGGCTCAGGTGATCGGTTAGGTTGAGGCGGTAGGCCAACATACCCGGGGCAATCCAATCTTTGTGGCTTTGGGCCCCGGGGTAATCCAATCTTCGTGAATAAGGGCCCGGTGTGCATGCATTGTGTGTGTATCGTGGTGTGTGATATTTTGGGGGAACTCACTAAGCTTTGACTTACAGTTGCGGATTAAATGTTTTTCAAGTACCGTCGGTAATCGTGAAAATGTGAAGACGTGACTGCACACACATATCAACAATGAAGATTCAACATTATCTATCTCACTCTGATTTATAAACAACTGTATTTGGAACAAATGATTTTTCTTAATTTGGTTTCTATAATGTGAAGTTTACCTTAATTAAAAATGAAATTTTTTGTTGTGAAAATGAGACGTTACAAAAAGTACATAAATACATAAAAATATATATAAAAATACTTAAACAATACATGAAAATATGTTTATACTTTATACATTATATACAAATTTTGAGAAAAATTATAAGATGTTCCATTATTTTAGAAATATTAACGATTAAGTGCTTAACACATCAAAAAAGAAATTTATCCATTTTTTGGGTTTTTCTATTAAATATATATATTTTTTGAAACTTAATCTTTAATTTTCTAAAATAACGAATGAAGAATTTTCCCAAATAATTATTACTAAATCTCCCATAGATCTACCGTATTCCTTCCTGTAGATAAAGCAGTCGGTGCGATTTACACTCGTCTGGATCTACTCCGCTCTTTTGGCCTCTATATTATGATTTCCTCATCAGATTCTCATTAAATTCAACCAATCCGCGTTCCATCTTTCCCACTTCTCTCCTTCTACACTCTGGGGTTTTGCCATTTTCTTGAAGCTGATGAACCTCAAAGCTTAACAATTCCATCAGATCTTCAAGAACAATCACAAAGGTGAAGCTTTTTTTTACCCTCAAAATCTCATCTTTCAATATTCCCATCAAACTTTTGGTAAAATAATCGTTAATCTCACTAAAGTTTCATAAATCACATGGCGTTGTATTATATTTTTCGTTCAGCTTTGATTGGACTACTATAATGCTCTGATTTAGTGCTTGAGACTATATTTCAGTTCTAGATTTGACGGGTCGTATTCTTTTTCTTCTTAATATCTGTTTTTAGTTCTAAGATTTGCTAGATTCAGATATTGGCTTATATGCTAAATACTGATCTACAGTTTTGTAGTCTAGTTTACATTGATTAGAGCTTAAAAGTTGTGATCGGAAGTTTTCAATTGAATATCACGCAAGATTTTGGTGGTATATCAAGTGTACAAACGATTTACTTCCACAATTTAGTTGACAGGAATCTTTTGAGGTTTTTTTATTCTAACTGTTCAATTACTACAACAGATTGTTATATTTCAATAATTCAATGTCATTTTCATTTTACGATCTATATATTCGAAGCAAATCTTATTAGTATTTGAAGCATAGAAAGACCTTTCGTTATGGTATATTTTTAATTGGTCATATTTTAACTGTCGATCTAGAGGTCTATGATCTTGTGGAATCTTGATCAATACATCATTTTAAATCCGAATAAGATGAGGCTCAAATAATTAGTTGATTTATATCATTTTTGGTCTATATGGTGTTTACACTCATGTTTATGCACATTGAAGTAAACCCTTTTGTAGGATCAAATTATGTTCCAACTTCCAAATCTTATGAAAGGGTACTAAATCGTTAACTTTCCATTTGTATCCCTTCAGGTTTATACAAGAAACAGAATCGATTACGTCATGGCTCAGGGAAAATATTCCCGAGTCGATGGGAAGAAGTCATCATGTTCCACAGCTACAATTGTTGTTGTTGTTGGGGTTTGTTTAGTTGCAGTTTGGATGTTCATGTCCTCATCTGCTGCCCCCGATCAGACTCCCGACCTGCCCGTTGCCACAGAAACAAAACAAAAGGTGACCGCAAACCCTTCTTCCCAATTTGAAGATAATTCCGGTGATCTACCCGATGATGCAGTGAAAGATGAGGGGAATCAAGAAACTACTCAAAATGGAGGTGATTCCAATTCCGAGGAATCCAACACAAATGAAGTTGAAACAAACACCAACACCGGAGATGATTCTAGTTCAAATGAAGAAAAATCAAACTCCGAAGACGGAAACACGAATTCCGATTCGAATGAAGGTGAAAAGAGTAATTCCAGCGACACCGATTCGAATGAAAGCGAGTCGAGTAATTCCGAGAACACCGATTCCAATTCCGATTCGAATGAAACCGGAAAGACCGATTCCGAAGACGAGAAGGTTAAGTCAGACGAGAAGGTAGAGAAAGAAGAAGAAAAGCAAACGGAAGAAAGCTCCGGTGAAAACAAGACCGAAGATTTCTCGGCTGCAACACAATCCGAGATTTTAAAAGAAACCAACACGCAAAACGGGGCCTTTTCCACTCAAGCAGCTGAGTCAGCAAGTGAGAAAGAATCACAGTCGCCATCATCATCAAAGAATTACAAGTGGAAGACATGTAATGTGACAGCTGGACCGGATTACATTCCGTGTCTTGACAATTTGGAAGCCATTAGACACCTTCATGGTAGGAGCCACTATGAGCATAGAGAGAGACACTGCCCAGATGAGTCCCCTACATGCCTTGTTCCTCTGCCTGAAGGCTACAAAACACCAATCAAGTGGCCTAGAAGCCGAGAACAGGTGAATATTAATTAATAACTACTTATTCAAATATCAAACTGTATTTCAATTCCAATATGTGGGCCCTGGGCTATGGGCTCTCTTTATCAGGGGTTGTTGGCTAAAACAGGTTTTTTACTGCTTATTTTCAGATATGGTACAGTAATGTCCCACACACGAAGCTTGCTGCAGTAAAAGGTCATCAAAATTGGGTCAAAGTTACTGGAGAATACCTTACTTTCCCTGGTGGTGGTACTCAATTTAAGAATGGAGCCCTTCACTACATAGACTTCATCCAAAACGTTAGTCTCATACTCTCATTATGTCTAATGCTTCATCATTGTTATTGTTATTTTTTTGGGTCTAAATGTGTTGGTAATAAATTAATAATATAATTGCAGTCACTTCCTGATATCGCATGGGGTAAAAGAACCAGAGTGATACTGGATGTTGGATGTGGAGTTGCTAGTTTTGGAGGGTATCTTTTTGAGAGGGATGTGGTTGCCATGTCGTTTGCTCCAAAGGATGAACATGAAGCTCAAGTGCAATTTGCATTGGAAAGGGGTATTCCTGCCATTTCAGCTGTTATGGGTACCATTAGGCTGCCATTCCCCAGTAAGGTCTTTGATGTTGTTCATTGTGCTCGTTGCAGAGTCCCATGGCATATTGAAGGTAACACTTTTAGTCCCCTTCTAATTGAATTTGGTCAGAAATTTGTTTTTAATTATAAATTTATAATGAAATATGTTTTCAGGAGGTAAACTTCTGTTGGAGCTCAACCGCATGTTAAGGCCTGGTGGTTACTTTGTATGGTCTGCTACCCCTGTTTACCAAAATAAGCCTGAAGATGTGGAAATTTGGGAAGGTATATCCTTAGTTTACATAAATTGTCCATGTAGTTTAAATAGCAAATTGTTTTTTTTTTATTTTTATTTTTTAAACTTGATCTTTACCTGACACCTCTAAAAATTCTCATGGCAGCTATGTCTAAACTAACCAAGGCAATGTGCTGGGAGTTGGTGAAGGTCAACAATGACAAATTGAACGAGGTTGGTGCAGCAATATACAGAAAGCCAACAACCAACGAATGCTATGAAAGCAGACAACAAAACGATCCACCTCTATGTGAAAGCAAAGACGATCCGGATGCAATCTGGTATAATATTTTATATTTATATTATCAAAATATTATTTTCTAGTAGTCAATGGTGATGTTTGACTTTGACTTAATTTATGAATACAGGAATGTGCAACTTCAAGCATGCATCCATAAAGTCCCGGTTGACTCATCCGTGCGTGGCTCAGAATGGCCTAAAACATGGCCTCAGAGGTTGGAGTCACCACCATATTGGTTGAAGAGTAGTGAGGTTGGAGTTTATGGAAAATCAGCCCCTGAAGACTTCACTGCTGACTATGAAAACTGGAAACGTGTTGTCTCAAAGTCGTATTTGAATGGATTAGGAATCGATTGGTCTTCAGTCAGAAATGTCATGGATATGCGCGCTATATATGGAGGGTAAGTCGGTTTCAAATATTAACATCCCATTTGTCACACAATATAGGACAAGACAGAACAAGTTGTACTGTGTTTGACTATGACTCTAGGATGTGAGGATTCCTAGAAAGCCTGTCTAGTTCTGTCCTGTCCAGTCCAGTACAGTGTAATCTTGATTCTTACGTTTGCTTATGACAAAATTCTTTTAGATTTGCTGCTGCATTGAGGGACTTGAAAGTTTGGGTGATGAATGTTGTACCCGTTGATTCACCGGATACTCTTCCAATTATATATGAGCGAGGACTCTTTGGCATATATCACAATTGGTGTGAATCATTCAGCACTTACCCACGAACATATGATCTTCTTCACGCAGATCATCTTTTCTCTGACCTTAAAAAAAGGTAAACTATACTGTTAATGATACTGTCATTGTCACTGTCACTGTTTGGTTACTGATACTGATATTTTTTGTGACAGGTGCAAGTTACAATCGTTAATGGCGGAAGTTGACAGAATTTTGAGACCCGAAGGTAAACTGATAGTGCGTGATACTGTGGAGACGATTGCTGAGGTGGAAAGCATGGCAAAGTCTATGCAATGGAAGGTTAGGATGACTTACAACAAGGACAATGAAGGGATGTTATGTGTGGAGAAGACGTTATGGCGTCCCACAGAGGTAGAAACAGTTGCATACGCCATCGAATAGAACAAGTATTGAAAGAAGGAAATGGTATTTTATGATGTGTTTTTACATTTTTTATTAATTTAATTGCAATTGTAAGTTGTTTAGCCACGTGTAATGGTCGTTTTGATTTGTTCTTGTAACGATTTTGTACTTGGTTTGCCTCGACTCAAATGTGTGTGGGGTTAGAATATTGTTACTGTAAAACTACGATATATTATCATATTTAGCAATGAAATTAAATTATACAATTGAGAGTTTACGATTGCTGTCAAGTCTTGATAAAATTTTAAGGCGAAATTAGATTCAAAATCCCTCTAGTGTTTGTTTTTACTTCAAACTAATGCGCTATTTATTTCTAATAGATGTAATATCGAATTTTAAAAAAAAACATTTTATGAAAACTAATTTTGAGTGAAGAAGGTTTAATGGAAAAGTGAAATACATGGAGTGTTGATGATGATTAGCGAGTGGTTCATCTTCCGCCAGCTCTTGTTGTCTAAAAAAGCCTTCACACAACTTTACAACCTTTAATCCTTTATCCGACATTTTTCTACCTTCTCATAATTCCATACTATCCAACCTTTAGTCATATGCAATTTTCTCCTCCAGTCGTAATTTTGGCTTATAAATAAAATCAAGTAAGATTGTCATGTAATTATGGATGCGGACATTGGCACATTGCCATCGTTAGGGGACGGGAATATCTTCTTGGACAAATCACATAAGTTTTGAAAATGTTTAAAGACAGTTTACAGGACTAATTTGACAGCAGGACATATTGAGGACTTATCAGAATCATTTAGATAAATGAGAGAACAATAAAAATGACACAACTACAAAAGGATATAACGTTTGACCCATCACGAGTTTCGAAGCCTACTTTATTTATGACAGACGACTCTCAATGGGACAGAGCTCCTAAGAAATAGCTGAAGATGGTTTGCCCCACCCGATATAAAACCTCAACTTAGGAGGATATTATTTCATGTAATAGCCAATAGAGTACAATAGTATAAAACCTCTATTTCATGTAATAACCAACAGAATAACCAATAGAGTCCAATAGGTAATTATTTCGCCAACCAAAACTCTCTTAGACAAAGTGAAAATCTATCTGAACGCTTTTTTTTTCTTCTGGCTGGAGTCTTTCGTGTCAACCCAACAAATAAAAGACGGTCACAAAGTAACTCAAAATCATTGTTACAAAGCAATAAAATATAGTACAAGATAAGCAATGTCGATCCACAGAAACACTAGTCAAAGATAAAACCCTGTCAAAAATCACTTATTTATGGGATGTCCCGTATGGAATCAGTGTAATTTCACACGACCCGTGTGAAGAGTAAACTATGATGCCTTAGTCGGGAAATCATCTAAAGTTCAATGCCAAAAATTGCATAATTCCACTTCGCACGACCCGTGTGATTTTAGTGCAAATCTACACCGATCGTGTGAGTCTTCAAATCCACAACCAATCTTCTATCCACACGACACGTTTGATTTCCATATGCAATTCTCTCACATGACGCGTGTGTCCTTCTATTGGCAAATCCAAGTTTAACTATTCCAAATTGTTTGTTTCTCATCTGAACAATCTTTTGAAAACTGGATCGGTCATCGAATCGATCCGGTTTAACCCATTTTTTTGCTGAACAGACCGGTTTTTAGTGGTTCATTTACAAAGAATTTTTATATGGAAAAAAAATCGGTGACCAGAACGACTCCCATTTGAACCGTCTAGTTCGGTCCGGTTTTCATAATCATGCATTTGAATGCTCTTAAACTTACACATGTGCTTCCTTTCACCCCTAAGCATGTTATAATCCTCGTATCACCTGGAATCACCATAAAAATGTGCAGATAAATATGTTCACCCGATAAACATGTATTATCTCAAAATGTAACTAAAATGCAAGGTTCTACAACTAACTATGATGTATAAATGGGACAAAAGGTGTGCAAAAAGATGCACAAAATGCACCTAACAACCATAAGGTGGGAATAACATGCATAAGAACACCAATTTCACCTAACAGTGCCCCGAGCCATGTTAATTCAGTCGTTATATCAACTAGGGCTTTGTATAATAGACTTGGTAGACATGTGAGTTCATTTCTTTTGTGAAGACTATGAGATTAAGTTCATGTCAAGGAAGATGGGTTTTAGAGTTTGACTTGGAATTTGGTGACTCGGATGAATAACCCGACCCGAAACAAAGTGAAAAAACCTGAATGACGATTTCGAAGGGATACGTGAGTAGGTTGAGGGTCATCAAGCTTGAAGCCATACACAATGGGTATGGGGGCGCCCCCTACGGTATGGAACTATTTAGTTATTTCAGATTAACTTCTATATGGGCCCAACTCTGTTGTTAATAGGGTTTATGGTAATAGTGAAACACCCCTCGCCCTTATAGTTTGAAAATACACCTTTAAAACGCTTGTTAGTTTTAAATAATTTTTTTAGAGTTTAAAAGTTTTGCGAATAACAAATGGCCCCAAAAGATATTCCAAAAGTTTAGTTGTTTAAAAAATGCGAGGTATCAAGTAGATATCATAACAAATGTTTTAAGTACCCCATAAGACGAGGACTTCTAAAAGTCCTTGTAATATTCTAGTCTCATGATATGGGCATATTTAGTTATAAAATTCATGCATTATCTTAATACTGTTGATTTCATCTCATTTAAAGGTGCTTAACTAGTTTAAAATTTCATTTTCAACAAGAAAGACATGCTCGGATGTGAAAGGAAGCGGATCTAGCAATTGGAAGCTTGGAAATTGGATTTTGAAGGAAGAAGGCAAAAATAAAGAAGAACTCGACGAGTTTGGTGTCCCAACTCGACGAGTTGAGATGAAGATTCCCGGCAAATTAGTGTCTTACCGTACACACGTTTTAAGTAAAAAACTCAGCGAGTTGGGTTATAAAACTCGACGAGTTGGAGTTGACTTTCAGAATCTATATATAGAACGTTTTCATTCGAAACCCTAACTTTTGCTGGAGGCTTTTGGCGACTTTTGGAGGCCAAAGAGGTTTTTAGAAGCTGTGGTTTTCGAAATTCAACTAGAGGCTTGGAATTGAAGAGATGTAAATGCACAATCATTAGTAATTTACTTAATTCTCTTGTTTACATTATGTATACATTGTTGAATTTCGTTTTTATGATATTATTTGCTGAAGTTATGGGCTAAACTCCATACTTCTGTTTAGACTAGATGATCTTATGAATATGGTTTGATTAGTGGTTTTGGATTATATTGATTTGGTTATTTATCTTGTTAAGCTTGTTAAAAGATCCTTATGTGTTAATGCTAATTATTTTCTATTAATAACTAAGTTAATTGAGTTGTATGAACATCTTCTTGATTACTTGAATCTTATAGTTTTATGAAAACAAGATTGTATGCCTAGTGTTGTGAACATAACCTAGGGTTAACTAGAAAATAAGTAAGTTAATGTGTGAGCATGTGTGATGACCAACCACATATGAGTTAATTAAATCAACCAATTTAGTTAACTAATATTACAAGTCTTACTTGATTCGAACTGAACACTAGGAAAGCTGTTAGTTTAATCAACTGGCCACTGTTTGAATTAACTTGTTTGCTAAAGGATTAGTAATAGTGAACATGAACCTAATCATATTAGAAATCGGTAACCATTGATATATTAATCCATTGCATTGCCACGAAATCAACCATTGGAATAAGTGAATCGAATCTAAACGGAAGTCTCTTTTATCTTATTGAATCTAGTTGTATTTTGCTTCTCTTTTAGTTGTTAATTGTCCTTTGTTTAAGTGTTTAGTAATTGTTTAAGTTTCTAGTCTTGCAAAACTAGAGAAAACCCCTTTTAAATATTGTTTTATTTAGATAATATTAGTATTAATTTTAATTGTTTACCGTTCCCTGTGTTCGATACCATACTTACCTGAACTAAACTGCTAATCGATAGGTATACTGCCTTTCGTGTGTTTGTCTTTGTGTTTAAATTAGTAGGATTAAAACTAGTAAAATCAACACGTATCATCTCATCAAGTGTTCAATCCGAGAACACATAAAAACAAGTTAGGCAATGAACTTGGCTAGTGAGTTACCCAAGGTTTATTTATTTAGAGTGAAAGGATGTTAGTGCAACTTACTCGAATCAAACCTCCAAAAATAGATTTTTAAACTTGCCAAAGTGGCCAAAACATTTGTCATAAAAGAATAAATAAATGACAAGGATAAGTAGTAGGATTGTTCAAAATATATGCAATGCATGCAACTACCCCCCTCCCTTGTCCATCTCACAATTAGTGGTTGGATATGAAGAACTCATGGCTAGTGCAAAACCAAAATACGGGAATCGAAAATTATGAAACGAAGTCAAGATAGAAAACACGTCGGGTTCACAAGGAGAACGCATCACGTTTCGACTACAACCTTTCTTTTCATGTTTTTAGTTCTTAATTAACCATTCTACTTTACATATTAACTTGTGCTTTTTTATAGTAATATTTTATTCAATCACTATGGGTTCCCAAACATATTTAGAAGACATTTATACATGCTAAAACACTTGACTTGATCTATTCAGTTCATCACAATAATTCTGCATTATTATTGCTCATTAAACTTTACTTATGGAGTTAAGAGGTCAAAATGCCCATACACTTACTAATGAACCATATAGCCTCCCAAGAAAAAAAAAAAATTCTAGACCACAATTAGATAATAATGGATACATTTCATGCCTTCCTAATTCAACCAAACTGTTTGCAAACTTAAAATCTAACTATGGAATCATTATTACATTCCATAGTTCCAATTTTAATCTTATGGCCAAACTATCCCTAGGATTACTTAAAGATCAATCAATTCTTCATGTGTATCCAAATCATTCCTAATGTAGCAATTCATGAATTAGAATATCATTTACACGTTTAGATGCTTAAACCCACATAGGAATTTATAATTAAACCATGAAATCCTCAAATCCTTATTTTAGTTGTGATTATCTCATTCAAGTAAGTCTGTGTAACGACCCAAAAATAAGTCTACAAATTTCGATTTTTAGATTAATAAAAACCATTTTCCAAAACATCATAGAAATCATAGTAAATCAGAGTGTATCAATAAACATCCAAGTACATAAGAGTATTACAAAATGCAGAACAATGTGGTGTGTGTACTGCAATCATCTCGAACTCTTCCCCTTCGAATCAGAAGTACCTGAAACATAAACTAAAAACCGTAAGCA